CTGAAAAGCTGTCTCCTGAGCCTCCACCTCGGACCTCCTCAGCCAAGCGCTCTCCAGCTGGCCGAGCCTGCTGGACACGTTGTGGCTCAGCAGCAGAACGTGCTCAAGAACCTTTCCTTGCTCAGACTCATGAAGCCTCTTGACTTCTTCAGCTTGATCACTGTTCCTCACAAGCGCGTGCTCTACCTGTGACACGATGTGGGAGGTAACTTTCTCGACCGCAGCGGCGAAGGTGGCCGCAAGGTTGGTGGTCAGCTGGCTCAGCTCTGCTTTCAGGGTCTGCAGGTCCACCTTCAGGGTCTCATCCATCGCCTGCAGCATCATGTTCTCTTTCATCTGCGAGTTCTCGAGCATGATGAAGAGCTTGTCCCACTCGGTGTGCTCTCGCTGGCAGTCACATGAAACAGCTGGAATGGAAGATACAGATGTTCCTATTCCTTTGTACTTACATTTTTAAACAGAAGAAGTATTTGACAAAATCTGGCTCTGTGCAAGGCTTACGTGCTCCAGACTGTCAGTGTGCTTCCCTCAATATAAAAACAGAAAAGTAAAGTAGTGTGTATTATAGCAATTCTAAAACTAAGTGTCATTGGCAGTCTTTGGGAGGAAAACTGAAAAATACAGAGTATAAAGCAAATTCCAAGGCACATTGTCCAAGTGTTACAGCATTTGCTGTCCATAATAATATACTGGTACAAGCATATGCTTCTTCCTCTGGAAAAAAAAAAATTTGTAATAATAACTGTTACAAGAGCTAGGCAACAAAGAATGCAATTCTGCACATAACACAAATTTAGTTTAAATCTACTTACTTTCCTCAGTACCAAGAACTGGACCTTCAATTTCGTTATCCAGATTCACGTACATGAGATCATAGTCATCATCTTCATCCGGAACAGAAACAGAAGCCCTGAAAACACAGAACAGCATAAGCAGAGAAAGTATTTCTTGGGGCAGCATTCTCTAGCTGCTTCCTGAAAATAGCTGGGCTGTCTGGAGCTAAAGCCGAAGTCAGACTTCAGCAGAGACAAGACTGTGAGCGAGATGCAGCGAGCCCCTAATAAATGCTCCGAGCGCCTCAGCTTGAATGAATGAGTAGTGCTAGTGTTGTAATAAGAGCACTTCTGGCTGTTGGTTTTGGCCGAGAGGAGAAGGGGGCGTGCAGCTTGCTCAATTCCAGCCTTCCAGGTTTGCACTGGGGGATGTACTGACTCACGGAGGGGAAGAAATGGGGAACGCTGCTCTTGCGAGCTGCCGCTTCCCCTCTGAGAGCAGATTGCTGTAACGTGCAGCAGTGCGAGGGTGAGAGCGGGGGATGAAATCACTTGGAGGTCGCTGCTTACAGGCACTGGCTGCATCGGTTCTGTTACTTTGCGTTATTTGTGGAAAGGAAAGTGTTCTCTGCAAACTCATTTTGTAGTTGGTATGTGCCAGGGCTCTGGAGCAGATTGGTAGAAAAATAAACGTACCTGGAGTTGGTTTGGGTACACGTGTGTGGTTTAATCTAAATATTGTACCTTTTTTTGATCCGTATGTATAAAAACTTCTATTATATACTGACAGTTTACTGCTTTAAGCAATAAAAGAGAACTCGTAAAAACAGCTTATTAAGAGTCTTGCTTTTCTAGCCCTAATTACCAATAACAACTTCATAACTATGTGGATAATACGTTACTGGCAGTATCTTGTTTTGGGAGCATGTAGATTGGCAGCTGCGTGATTAGAGTTGTTTCTGTTAACTTTGAAAAACAAAACAAGGCACTCGGATTAGACATTAATCTAGTGCTAAGTATTATTGTTATTGGTGTTAATCTGTTTTAAATTCTGGAAAGCTTATCAGTTCAATGGGCCATCAATTATTTCAGAGATGCATTGCTTAGGTAAGATTAGGGGTAATATGTTACAAATTATGTATTGGCTATGAAATATTAAGAGAATAGCAAAAAAAAGCCCCGCATAATTGCATCTAATTTGCAATCTGTGTTCTCTTTCCATTTGGGTCTTTGGTTTAACTCCTTACCACTGTACACAGGAGTGTGTAAAGAGGGCCCTGTGCTTCTGTTCTTGCTCATTCTGCCTCCGACACCTGGGCCGCGAGTGGGAGGTGTGGCTGCACAAGGCAGCAGAGACTGTGTGCGTGGCCTCAACCATCGCCCCCTCCTGCAGCGGGGACCAGGAGGTGCTTTGCAGGTGTTGCCTTTTGCTGAGGAGGCAGGTAAGGCTGGAGCTGCCTGCTCCCCAGCCCGCTGCCTGCTCCCCAGCTCCTCCAGCCTTGCTCCACGCACCCCAGGGCAGCCCGCTGCTCCGGGGGATGCTGAAGGCTGCTGAGAGCCTGGTGCTGCTGCACCAGATGCCTCCCATTACCCAGCCTTGCTTGTGCAATCCTGGGCTATCTGCACGTTGGGCTGCTGGCCACGGCACTGTGCTATTCCTACGTGCCAAACTGCCTCACTGTTGCACCCTATGCGTATACAAGGTTCCTGCCACAGTGGGGCCTCCAGCTGCTCTCCTGTAAATGCAAATAATAAATAGTAACGTTGAAGCAATGTGTTAGAAACCTCAAAAGTTTGGTAAAGTAGAGGTGAACGTTTTCGGGGAGGTATGTGCCTAACTTGAGTTATCCCGGGGAAAAAAAATTAGTCTTGGCGTATGGGCTTTTATCTTTGAATACTCAGTTCGGAGTGAATGTTGAAACACTGCTGTATAGCTTCAAGAGCTCCTTCTGTCCATGTTGCTTTTGCAGTGTGCTACCAGGCTCGTTTTTTAATAAGCTCTCTATGCTGCTGGGTAGGGCAGAGCAGAGACTGAGCACAAGGCAACCTTTGCAATTCATGTGTGCAGGGAGCGCAGCCAAAGCGTGCCCGGGGCATGGTCCTGGGGCAGCCGGGGCGGGCTGGCACTGTCGCAGCATGTAGTTGTGGTTGCTCCTGCTGTACGTGCCTCTTCCCTGCCTGACGTGCAGCCAGCGGTGCAAAGCCATCGAGTGTCCCCAACCGTACGTTAGTTTCTGCCTGAATTGCATAATTCCCGGTGTGTGGTCTGCTTGGAAAGTCTGAGAAAATCCAATCTGGAAAGTGTTGGGGCTAAGGGTGGTAGGGGAAGGAAGAGGGAAAGAAGGTAATTAAGGAGTTGAGTATAATGTTTTTCTGTTCTCAGACAACAAACATACTTTTCAGGCTCTTAGTTTAGACTAAGACAGACGAAGCAAGATAGAAAAAAGTTAATTACCTGGGAATGGGCACAATATTGTTTCTGTTGGCCTGAGCTCTGAGAATTGAAAGGTTGGTGAGCTGCATGTACGTAAATCCCTTAGAAACTGAAAAGGTGTGACAAATCAATGGCAAGAACTACCTTGAAACATGAAAATACAAGAAAATAGTGATTGGGTTGTGCTTCGTGACCTTTCTTAAGTTATACAAAGAACAGACACAAACTGTGATGTCTGACTGGATTGTTTACAAGTTTGTAGAAACAGGTTATTCAATTAAAAGCAATTCCACGTCAGTGAGTTCATTTAAATATCACTCCAAACTGATAGGGTTGCTTCTAATTTGCCTTTGCTTTTCATTTATCTTGGTTAGTGAATATAAACCCGGTATGTTTGCTGTATGACAACTGGAAGATATTGCCCAAATTAGCATTTGTACAAAGTATTTTTGTTCAGAGAACTTCATGGCTGCAATCCATCATGTTGTGTCATGTCAAATTGCATCACTTCTCTCATACATCCAATACTTAAAATGTGTGTTTTCTCAGATTGAATAATTAGTCTTACTTTCCACATACCTTCCTACCTGTGACATCCCAGCTTAGGCAACAGCATGTCTCAGGTTAGTGGGTGTCTTTCTGTGTTTAAAGTTGCTAGTTTTGGTTCATCTCTGCTGAATTCCTCCCCTCCACACTTCTACAGCTGAGATGAATTTTGCCAGGAACATGGGAATTTCATCTTTTGTAATTGTTACCGTTGCTGAAATTGGACTGGAGCTTAAAGGATCTGCTCCATATGGGCAGAAAACTTCCAGTGGAAACTAAACATGTGCAAGTGCAAAGAAAGGACTCATTCCTGTAAGCACTGAATTATCGAGAAGAAAATTTTTAGTGTATTCAGTTACAAAATTGTTCCATTTCAAGCTCAGATGTGAGTCTAGAAAAGTCCAAGTAAATACATCCTCTCACCACTTTAGTTCTAACTTTGGGTGAACTGGTGCTTTGCGTGAATCCCACGGTACGTTAGTGACACTTGTAAAAAAAGTGACACTTTTTGTTACAGACTCACTTGTAGTGTCAGGAAGAGATTTACACGAAGAATGTAGCTAGAAAATGGTCAGAACTGAACAGCTTGCTAATCCGTTTAGGGTAATTAATCAGCAAAATATCTTGCCTTTGCAACTGGCCTTTGTGCTTTATATATAGAACAAAACAAGACAAATTCGCCGTGCCTGTGGGGCTAGAGGTGGGGTCTGAGCCTTGCCTTTAGGACTGCAGTGGTTGTATGGAGGGCTCAGACCTGCTTTCAAGGAGAAGCCAACGCTTCTTCAAGCAGAACGAATGCTTCAGGATGGGATGCAGGAGTGTGGCTGGCTGAAGAGTGGGGAGGCACTCCTCTGAAGCATAAGGACCCCTTAGGGATCATTACAAGCTGTTCCACTCGAAGTTGTCTAAACCTGTGATGAATTATATGTTAGTTACTTGGCTCAGAGGTGATGTTGCAAGACCTAACAGTGTCTCGGGGTGTGTGTTCTGTGTCTGGCAAGAGCGCAATGTGGTCCAGTCTGACCCATATAGCCTTTTTCTACCATCCATGAAGTGACCTGCTTTTCTTCCAAAATTTTAAGGCTCAGATTTAAATGGGAGAAAAAGCAGCAGGCCAGACTGCTAGTTCCTATTGGAAACCAAATCCAAAGAGACCTTAAGGACTTTCAAGGGTTTACAAAAAGGAGCCATAATACATGGCAATAGGCAGATGTTTTCCATATGTTGTTCAAGTGAAACTTAAATATATTGAGGCAGGCATGTACAGCAACGTGAAGTTATATATTTCGGTATGAGCCTGGGCTTCAAACTGAATTATGCACAGACATCTTAAGAAAATGTGTGAGAGAGGGTTTTGCATATCTTTGTCTGTCTGCAGTTGACTCTTTCTGGCTCCTTTCTATTCATGGAGATGGCATCCTTAACTATTTATGTTCAAATTTACTGTCATACATACTTAGTTCTCTTAACAACCAGCTATTCTTTCCATATGCTGCTTATTTAATTTGAAAGTCTGAATCTCAACAAAGGAGAAATATAGCTTTTATGTGCTTTCTAGCCTTCTTTTTTCTTTCTTTTTTTCTTTCTTTTTTTTGTTTAATTTAAATCACGCTTAGTTTGGTCTAGGACTCAGCAGAGTACCATCCAAATTGCAAAGCTCATTAAGCAGCCTTCTCATGATATTGTACTTGAGAATGAAAATTATAATTAATAGGTTTTTCTTTTTTTTTTTTTACACCTACATTGTTGTACCTGCAATGATTCATTCTATTTAGGTTATTTATTTGTCTTCTTGGCCCAGTACATATTTTTCTACAGTGTGTTTTATGCCTCCCTGGTTTTGTACTGATGAACTGGTGTCTCCAGGTGTGTGCTGATTTTCTAGGGCTCTCTCCAGCTTCAGGGTATTGACTGACGGTAAGTCACTGGCCTCTCATTTGCTCTGTTCTCAGGGAACTCGATGCTGCTGCGCGTCCTGCCTGCTCTGTACGAGAAGCAACCGCAGCCGATAAACCTCCGTCTGAGGGAGCTGGTGGCACTGATGGCTCAGCTGGATCAAGCTGAACAACACCACCTCCTCAGGCTCTTCCAGATCGTGGCTAGGAAAAAAGAACTGGGGGTAAAACCATGTTTGGAAGATCTTACTGCTAAATGCTGCACCTCCTTTTGGAGGAGTTCATTTGTTTCAGATGGCTTGGCAAGGTCTG